GTTCCTAAATTCCTGTATCTGAAAATTGATTTATTTAAAATAAATAATGTAACAGAATCAAAATAAATTGTGCTTAGTACCCCGAGGGGAGTCTGCTGCTGCCGTCCCTTTTCTAAAACTTTGTAAACTTCTGGACATTCAGAATTCTCCCTTATGAACTCCTTAAATACTGCAAAACTTCTTGGCTCTTTACTCTTTAGTGTATCTCGTAGCTTGTTAAGACCTGCAGAGCAAATGCAGGTACATTTCAATACTGGCTATTTCACAGGCATGAAATGAAGCATCGTTTTAAATATAATTAGAAAAAGGAGATTAATCAAGAGACTTCACTTGGTGGCTGAGTGGTTAAGTTTAGGTTTTGGGTTATGATAGGTATTATAATATCATTAGATGCAAAGGATGCTGGGTTCAAATCTCGTCAAACTTGAAAATTCTTTTTCTAAGTGAGGAGAACCAGAATCATTGAAAATTTTCAAAATAAGTCCCACTTGTAAGTTTGAAAACCTATTACATACTTTATTAATCTGTACACAACGATATAACCAAGATGGCTTCCATATGGTGGTAGTCCATTTTGGCTTGACATTATTGTCAATTGACTGGCTATTAGGTGGGAAGCACCGGTGGCGTGCTCTGCTAATGTGCCGCCTCTCACCAATGCAACCTGAGTTCGAGTCCTGCCGATCTCGATGTCGTATGTGAGTAAAGTTGTTTGTTGGTTCTCTCCTGTGCTTCGAGGGTTTTTCTCGGAGTTCTCCAGTTTTCCTCCCTCCTCAAAAATCAACTTCTAAATTCTAATTCGATCTTTGGGTTTTCACTTAGTTTGGAGCCTAGCTCTGTTGTGAGAGTCCCACACTGTGATACAACAGCAAAAGCTTTGTAGTTATTATTCTTAGCCCTGTCTATTCTTGGGTTGCATGTTATGAAGTAGCCACCATGTTGGTTGACTACATACAAATCAGTATGGTAGCTGTTTCATTGCATTATCTATATCTCAAGGGATTATGAGTCATGTGGTTGCACTCCAAGAATACCTGTGTGGTGTATATGGTATGGCATATACAGCTATTTCAAATAAGATTGTTGAAATTTTGTTGCATGATGCATACAAAGCTCGAACTACACTATGGGGGAATAATAATAATAGTAATCATCATCATCATCATTATCCTCATCATCATCATTATCATCATCAACGTTATTGAGGATTGAGGATGATCAACATCAATGAAAGTAATTTACAGAAGGGTCCTATGACATGCGAATACTGCAAACAGYGAAAGCTAAGTCACAACAATATGAAAATTTCCTAAACTTTGTCTGCACAAATTTACGGCTTATTTCCTTCTGTGTTGATATTTTTAAGCTTACATATGAATGTTGTACAACGTGATGATTTTACAAGCTAGAGCAGCATTCAACAAATATGGCTCTAGCCCAGAAGTCGATCAGTCTGTGTTAATCTCACACGAAAGGTAAAAAATGCTCGGTTTATTTCCTTACCAGACAGCAAAGTAGCTTTGTTCCTTAACAAGGTCTTCACTTCACCAACAAATTCTCGTTCATCGTGATCAGTGTTCGACTCTTCGAAAGACGTTTTCTCAGACTTTCTCGCCTTAACCCCCTTATCTGAGCTACCTTCCTTTTCAYTTTTTCTCTTAGACATAGTTTTAACTTATATTTATAATGTTTTTGCCCTTAAATTTAAGTATTTTGGCCAAGACGTTCATGAACTTYTACTCCACGTGCGTCCGCCATCTTGTCCAACTTTTACCACAGGTAGCCCAACGTGATCTATAAAACATTGTAATGCTAATTAGCCATGCGGTTCTACAGATCTCAAAGGGAAGGCCAATTCATAAAGTGCCTATCAAGCCCACAGGATCTTTTCCTGATTTCAAAGCCCTTACAAGGTAAATGAAAAAATACTTTACTTCGATATCTCTTTTCGTTGCCGAGATATTCAAAWTGGAAATCATGAAATGATGACGTCAACCCAGGATCCCTGTAAAAAGTCAAATCATCAAATAGAGAACGTCTCTGTGCTCAAAATACCTGAAACTTTTGGTGCTTCTACTGCGCTATGACCAAGCTTTTGATTATTGCTTTTTATATCGCTGTCATAGTATTTCCGCGGTTTTTGAGTGTACATATGCTCGTGAACTCGTGAGTTCAATGACGCCTAAATACAGTACTCCAAACTGGAGTATTATGTTTATTAATACTAGAGAAGTGCAAGACTTACTAGTAGACTTTGTACTCATTGAAAACGTTGTTGAAACCTCCTGTATGCGCAGTTTATATTCAAATCAGAAACCTTAACATGCAGTGAATATTAAGCAGGGTCCGGAAGGAAATTCGCGGGAGGCGGGAAACGGATAAAATATAGCGCGGGATCAGGGAAACTAGAAAAAAATCTTACCTTATTCGGGATATTGGCATCGACCGTGACTCTGGAATTGCCAAATTCATTGCCCGGGATTTGGTATATTACTTTCTGATTTTCGGGGAAAACGTGAAAACATTTATAAATAGAATAAACCAACTAGAAGGATAATTCATTTGTGAGAGTAAGCTTTGTCCTTTCGGAGACTTGAGAAAGCATTCAAGTCAGTAGGAAGTCAGTACAGTCACACTATATAATATAGCAAAGTTTGATAATCATTCTATAATTTTCAAATCAGAAAAGAAAGGAAAAGAAAAATAGAGAAACCAAAGCTTGAGAAGGTACTACTTTTTGGTCACCTATCCAGGTGCTAACCCTCCTAAGACGGGCTTGACTTAGTATCTTCGATGCCCAAGTTTTTTCCACTGCGCCACGGTTCCATGAAATTTGCATAACAACAGCCGTGAAAACAATGCACCGAATAGACTAGACTTTTTAGCATTAGATTTTCCACCGATTTCGTGCGTGGCAGAGATGCAAGGGATTAGCCGATATGGTCTGGGGGCCGGCTGTTCTCTCCCCTGATGCTTCGGCTAGAACATTTTCTTGCGTAATTCGTACACCCAAGGGCAGAAGGATTTAATCGCCGTCAGGTCCGAAGTCCATACGACGCCTCAGCTCTGCGGGTGTCTCGGGGGTATGGCAAAGTGAAATCGTTTTTGTTTTTTGTTTTTTGTTTTTTGTTTTTTTTTTTTTTACTTTCAAATCACATCGTAAATTTTTTTAATTATTCGCTATGGCAGGATAACATGAGAAGGACAATTCACTTGTGAGAATGAACTTTGTCCTTCCAAATGGTAGGGTATTCGCGGGATGTTGGAAGCGGATAAAATTTAGCGCGGGATCCGGGAAACTAGAAAAAATCTTACGTAGTGATTTGGGATATTTGCATCGGCCGTGACTCAGGCGAATTCGATGTCCGGGATGTGTGATTTTGCGCTTTCTGCTTTAAGGGGAAAAAGTGAAAATATTAATAAATGAGATAAATATTCGAACACCTTTTAATAYGTYGATCATGAATTGTCGCRRGACRCGGGATTTCGGGRRAAAATGCGCGTGTTCGGGATTTGGGCCCCATTCCATCGAGACCCTGTCTTTGGATTTGGAATMCTCTTGGATGGGTGAATGGATGGATGGATATAGGTGGGTGAATGGATGGATAGATTGTTCCTTTCCTTTATAAATTAGCAATTTTTGACCAAGTTTTTGGTCACTTATTTAAATTGCTGTTTTTGTTTAACCTTTCTCTTTTCTCGTAAACAGTTCAATAAAACAAAATTAACGTGCCTCAACTGGCATAAATTACTGCATAAATTCGTTAATTATTCTAAATTTAAGTTTTATCAAATGTACGAAMGCTTTTCAAAACTTAATTAAAGAGCTGTCAACATATCCAACGAGAACGAGGTGTAAAATGAATAATCTATTCAAATAAATAACAAAACCGCCATAAACATTGTCCAAATACATCAGAGAATTCCCTTTGTGAATAACAGCTGTATTTAGACATATGTCAACCGTTCGAACTCTACAAATATAATTCTAAATATAAATATCCTCACCAAAGAAGTAGTTTTATCTTTGAAACTACAGATTTAAGGATCACGGAAATTCGGTTCMAAAAAACCCGCGTGCGTTATTCCATTCATCATTTCTATTTACGCTTTCACTTAGGATTTTAAGAGCGCCGTTTCAAAATGTCTGGAAAGTTGAGCAGACTATTGATTTTGAAAGCTCTTTTAGTAACATTTCCATATTACTCTGAATTACAAATCTCGAGTTCTAATGCTAAGTTTAGTGTTCACAACGAATCCGTGAAAATTTCACCAGGCGTTTACAGAAATGGGACGTTTCTTCTTGGAGGGCTATTTGCCATCCATTTTGCAGCTAAAAACTCGACGAACTCTCTAGAATGTGTTGGACGGTGGAATGGAAGRGGATTCGAGGAAGCAAAAGCCATGTTGTATGCGATTGAGAAGATAAACAATGACAAAAGTATTCTCCCTGGAGTTAAGCTTGGAGCAGACCTCAAAGATACTTGTAATAGCGTTGATTTTGCAATCCGTAGTTCGTTGAATTTTAGCTTTATAGATAAAAATATCCAGACGAATAAGTGTCCTTTGAGAAAACAGTTGGATATTTCAGATACTATAGCAATAATTGGTCCAGGAACMAGCGATGTAGCCATCGCTATTACGAACTTAGCGGGCCTTTTCCACATTCCTGTCGTCGACTTTTCATCCACAAGTCGACTTCTGAGCAACCGTATTCGCTTCAAATATTTCTTAAGGACAGTTTCGTCTGATATTCTATTATCAAAAGCGATTGTTGATTTGATGCTTAGATTTGGATGGAACTTCATTCATATTTTGTATTCGGATACAGATTACGGACGCTCTGCTTTTGAGACTTTTGAGTACGTCCTTACCAAGAATTCAATGGCTGCAAAGATCTGCAAAGCAACGAAAGCTTCGTTCAACATCCATTCAAGTAAAAAACATCTGAATCAAATCGTCRATGACATTAAATCCGAGCGACAAGCAAGAGGAGTCGTTCTGTTTACCACAATACAAGACATAGAGTTGATCTTGAACAAGTTCGACGAAGAGAATATGAAAGACTACGTTTTCATCTCGCCTGATTATTTTAGCGGTTCTATCAAGCAATTTAATTGCTCACCTCGGATGTTAAGGCGTTTAATCGGTATCGTTCCTCATACAAACGAAGGAGTTTCWGTCCATGATATTGTTGAAGAGTTCTCTTCAAAATATATCAAGGAATCTTTGCGGAATACAAGGTGGGAGGAAGAGAGTCGATATGAAACTACAAGGTTTTGCCATTCGCTGTTCGTTCCTTACGTAATTGATGCTGTTTATGCTGTTGCATATGGATTGCATAATATATTGAATTGCAGTCAAGCAACTGGATGCGGAAATGCAGTGCAGAGATTTGCAGAGTTAAACAGGCAAGTAAAGGGAACCTAGGGGAGGGTATCAATACTGTATTCCACTTCTACCTCTGTGGGGTTTCGATCAAGCTCGATTCCCGTGAACTCAGCATCGCATGTGAATAGAGTTTGTCTCTCCCTTTATTCGAGAAGTTTTCTCAGTTTATATCAAAAATGTTTAAAACTTTTATTTATTTTCAAATTTCAAATTTTGAATGGAATCATAGAAAGAAAGAKCAGTGAAAAAAAMATTTTTTWKSCCMWTTTWARGSMWTTTTTTWRRCMWTTTTTYYT